CCCGGCACGCTCGGGAGAAGTTGCCGGGGAAGGGTGCGGACTAAAATGAGAGGTTTCCAGCCGTAAACGTGGGAAATCGGCTTTTTCTCAAGAGGTGCTGAGTGAGGCAGGGAAAAGGGTGGAAACACTGCACTCTGGGAGCAGATGAAAGGCCGGGACAGGTTGTCTTTTCTAGCTTCGTCCTTACTCTGGGTCCATTTACAGCTTTTCCAGTACAACTTCTGTTGTTTTCCAAAAAGCTGAGTAATCTTGCTTGGTTTGCGCCTTTCTATCAGCCTTGCCTGTGATCAGTGTTTTCTGTTAGTCAAGGCTTCATCCTCCTTCCATTTCGGAATCGGTTTCCCGTTGTCTCGCTTACACCATCATTACAAGTGCCGCATTTAAAACACCAAATGATTTTTAGGGATGGGATGTGTCATCTTCACAAGGGGTATTCTAAGTTGATCAGTGGAGATAAGAGCTGTTTGGTTTATGGGTGGGGTGAGTTTCTGTCATCAAGAGCGAGAAATAACCTGGTGGAGGAGAAAGGTAACAGGGATAAATAGCGTATAGTTTGTCAATATTGCTTTGTGGTGCAGTCTGAGACTTCTCATCCATCTGGGTCCGATTGCTCCTTTAGAAATGACATGTCAACTATAAATATTGCAGGATCCCTTTCTGTCTCATGGTGCTTCAGTCCTCTAGAATTGCCTAGACCTTTCCCATGTGTTGGCTTAAAATTCAGCCTACTGGTTTTCGAAGAAGATAACAGCTGAGGGGAGAGTCTTGCTCATAGTGGACGGCTTTACAAAGCACAATGTCTGGATGAAGTATTTTGGGGTTTGCTCTTGGTTTTTTGGGGTTTTTTTATACCAGTCTGAGCAGAGAAGTCAAAATGTGAATGTTCATGAGGCATTGATAACTGATAGTGTTTTGAGTGAGTATTAGAGATACGATCAGAAATATGAAGAGCCTTACTAAACGTTGAAAATTTAACATTAGAAACTGAAAAGAAAGCATAAAAGAAACTACCTGAATAATTGCATGATCCTGTGACTTCATAGTTACCTGTGAAGTTATGTATGAAGTAGTATTGTATACTGTATTCTCTTGCCTTCCTCTCCTCTCTCCTTCCTGTTGCCTTTAACGTTCATTTGTTGCATGACATGCATATTTTTTTACCCAGAATTTTATTCTGGCTCCCAAGTGTCTGTCACGGAGTGATTGTGTTCCAGCTACAGAATCTGTGTCGACTTTAAGACAGACTCAGATTTCAGAGTTTAAAGTGGTTTTGTGAGAACTTCGTTGAGATTCTTGAAAAATATTTTTTTTTTTTTTTTTTTAAAAAAAACCCTTAAGTTTGCTTGTTCTGGAGCTCAAAGACCTGGTAAATATGAAGCCTTTGAATGTGTAGGTATTCTTTACAGTAAAAACCTGCTGCTTTGCTGTGGGTGGGTTAGCTGTGGAGGTACCTAAAGGCTGTGTTTCCTTGCAGAATGTTAACATTGTATCAATCTGATTTTCTTTTGGTAGATGTTACTAAATTGCTATAAGATTTCCCTAATCTTACGGCAAAAAAGAAACGAGACTGAGTACTTGAGTATCGTATGGTTATCTTAATAATTTCAATTAATCATCTGGTTGCGAGCCCCACTAGGGTTGATGTGGAAAAGTATGGCAATCATTTTGGAGTTCTGTTTAACACTTAATTGAGATTGTTTTCCTGAATTAGATAGTTCTGGATTGCTACAGCAGAAAATTCTCTCTCGTTTTTAGTTTCAGTGAAAATATTGGAGTTGGCTCAAGGAAATGTATTTGAGCTGCTAAAACTGATCTTGTAATATAAATTATTTCTCCTTGAGAGGACTGTATCAGAAATAAGCATTTAGGCATTGGACTGCCATGTGCCTAATTCATTTATCTTTGGAGAGCTTCTCTTTCTTAACGTAAGTGCAAAGATGGGGGAAAACTGATTTTATTTTGAAAACAGGAGAGGAGGCTGTTCTGTTCTGTTCAAACTATTCTTCATGTGAAAAGTCACTGGAGAGCTTGAATAATGTGCTCCACATTTTCAAAGCCAGCTGTGTGTGTGTAATGCTACTTGCTTGTAGTGCTTAAGAACCAATGTTGGTGGGGAAGAAAGATCTTAGAGGTGTATTTGTGCTAGAGTGTGTGTATTGAAGGCTGAGTTGACGCAGACCAAGCTACAAGCGGTCCATCAATGGCCGAGTGCAGTGCAAACTTTCTCTTTTTCCCCACCATGCTACCAATTCAAGAAGTCCTTGAGCAGCTGTGACCAATGGCTTCTAGTAGCTCTGAGTAGTTTAAAAGTAATTTCTTTCTTTTTATGTGTCATCTTCACCTTTGGTCAAGTCTACCTTCCAATTATGCATTTACTGAATTTGTTTCTATTCTTTGTGCAACTTGGGAGACTCATATGGGCAGTTAGCTGAAGCTGGTGGTCATCAGCTTGAGTGGTAAGACCGGACTTGTTTTAATGAGTTGAAGAAAAATATAGCCTGGTTTGACCCTCAGTTTTTGAGCATCTTTGTAACCTGTGACTTAAAAACATCATAAGAAAAAAAGAATCAGTGATTTTTCCCCTCTGCTTTCCGCTCGTCTAGTTTCTGGTCATCTGCACTTCAGGGACTTCTGGAGCTAGAAGTTAAATCCTTCTAGTTTATTTAAGAGCTTTATTTCTTTTTGTCTTTGACTGTAGAGCATAGGGTAAAGGGTGACAGGAAACAGAGGGCAAGAGACCTTTGCCCAGTATCGAAGATGTGAACAGAGAGTTTATTTAAATAGTAACAAAGCAATGTTTTCTGTTTTTTCTGGTTCCTTTTCTGCTAACTCCTAGCATTGTTAGCAGAATGAAAATGTACTGAGTGGCATGAGCTAATTTATGTTACCACAATAGTTTTCACTTCAGAAAAAGCAGATACTATAAGTTCATTACTTTGTATTTAATGACATTTAGTGACAAAATGTTGTCTGGAGATCCATCAGTATCCCTTTCTGACATCTTTAATCAACTCATACCTAATCCTCAGGATAGAAAAGTATCTTCTGCACATTTTTTCATCTTACTATTCACAACCTTTTCCAGATCTTTCATGAAGATGTGCAGCATGGGTCTCAGCACTGATTCGTGTGGGATTCCACTGGTAACTTTCCTTATTGTGAAAAATGGCCATTTATTTTTACCCTTTGTTTCCTCTCTTTTAACCAGGTGTTAATCCTCAAGAGTGCCTTCATTTTTATCTTGCCAATTTAGTTTCTTCGAGTGTTTCTTTAGGCCTGTCGGAACCTTTGTGGAAGCGCACGCAGCCTGTGAGGGAAGCGCTGTAGTGAGAGCTGTGGAAACCTGCCAAGAATTGCGCTACATTCGGGCAATTATTTTTGTTCCTGCAAATTATTTTTTTTCCTCATTATGTTTCTCATACATATATATATATGTTAATTGCTGTTATTACTGCCTTCATTTTGCCTGATATTGGAGTAAGATTTACTGGTATGTAGCTTCTCTGAAATCTCTCGCCTGTTGGGATCCCCGTTTGCCACCTTTGCTTTGTTATTCTTCACACACTTTTTCAATCAAGAGCTGATTTATATTGCTGAATTGAAGAGTTAACCATTTGTTTCATAGAGTCGCTTTAGAAGTTGAGGGAATGATGCCTGGTCCTGTCCAAACTGATGATAAAAGGGAACAGATAAAGGCAGGAGAGCACCATAAAATACAAGTTTTGCTACTTTCTATTGTGAAAAAATGCACAATAAAGTGAAAATAATCTGGGCTACTAATCACTATCTTCAGAACCATCCACTGCGTCGGAGGGGTTGGAGGCAGTATAATTTTATTGGGGTTTTTGTTGGGGCTTGGGTTTTGTTTTTTTTTTCTTTCTTAGAAAGTTTTGGAAGCTCTTTCAAGAACAGATCACCAAATTTTCCCAGCACATACAAGTCTGGGGGAATGACTGCTTTTATAACTTCATTTGCTGTAACAAAGACTGTCACTAAACTGTTCATGTAATTTTAACACATGGATTAATGTGTGGCTTTAATATGTGGAATTTCTTTGATTCAGTTTGCTTTTCTTGCCCATTCTTGATGACACTAAGAGTGCTTAGTTGATTTTAGCAAAGGTAACCTCTTCTTTCCATTTATCTGCTACTAATACTTATTTTTACTTCATAACAGCATAGAAAACTGGCAGTTTCCCATATAAGATATCAACTCTTCTACTATTAGGCATTTTTGGGTAGCAGTATTTATAATGCAGCTGACTCAGAGACTTGTTACTAAAACAGGACAGGGGAGATTGTGTGTGTTAGTGGGGGGGTTATTTTATGTTTGCTTTGAAAGAAATACCTACTGCTCCAAAGAAAGGTGTGAGAAAGTAGGGAGGTAGATGACAGGCATACAGATGTGCCATCATAGCACAAAGTAGACCTTGAACAAGAAGGTAAGTTTGTGACATTTTTTTGGCTTTTTAGCCCCTTTTAATGAGCCTTTATTTAAAAAGAAAAGAGAAATGCTCCTGTAATTTCTGGGCATAATGATTAAGGCAAAAAAAATGCTTACTAGTAAGAGCAAAGTCCTGTATCTGTTGGGTTTGTGGTTTGGAAAATACAGGGCTACAGTTTAAACTTCTGTGTGTATGTATTTATTACAATAATCATGATATATGAAAGACTATAAATTCTGAACGTGAACTGCTTTCTCGTTTTAGATAGCTTATTTGGGGCTTTAGCACAGTTGCTTATGATACTGCTACAGGGCATGCATTCATCAGTGTATCTGTATGCATTTATCTAGTTACAGCACATTCATCCTACATGTTTGCCCAAACTATAATGTACCATTAAGTATGGGCCCCTCTCCACTATTGATAATAAATGCCCTTTTTGTTGTGGAATTCATCTTAATGTGTGGAGACGATGAGTCATTTTTACTGAGAAGATGTTGCCTTTTTCTAGGTTCCCATGGGTGTATATTGAGTGACTGCTCTTTTGCAGGTGAAGTGGATGATGTACTGGATTGTGTTTGCCTTTTTTACCACTGCAGAAACACTTACAGACATTGTTCTTTCTTGGTGAGTTTCTTGGCAGCATGGGGTTTGGGGTTTTTTGGGGTTTTTTTGTTGTTGTTGTTGGGTTTTGTTTGGTTTTTTGTTTGGGGTTTGTTTGATTGCTTTTTAAAGAAGAGAGGAGTAGTGTTAGCATGCTAAGAATAAACAATCTCTTTAGGCAGTTTTCAGTACCTGTGGAGAGTCTGCAGGTTTGTAGATATTGTGGGTAGCAGTTGCTGTCTTACCTTCTTCTATATTTGCAAACAGTTGGAAGAAATGCACAGTGTCTGTAAGAGAATCTTCATAATATGGAACATTTTTGAGAAAGTTGATTTGAACTGGTGAAGTTTGAGAAACGGAGGCCTAAAAGACACTTAGAAAAAACAAAGACGGTAGAAGGAAGGGGCCCATTTTGCTTTCCCAGCCTGTTGTATGGAGAAGCAGATTGAATGCACGTCTGTGCTCGGAGAGGTGTTTTCCATGATTAAATTCTCTTCTACTAGTGGGGCTGGGATGGAGTTGTGGGAAGCAGGTTCTTAATCCTTTCAGTGCTGTGTTTCATGCTTGGTGATACAGAGGCCTCCAAAAATGACAAATCACCATTACATGTCTTCAGCTGAACCTTCTGAACAGGCTATCTTCAGTTTCTTCATTTGCTTTAGTGTTCGAGCTTTGCATACACCTCTGAAAGAATACTAGTCAAGAATCATATCTCTTAAACATGAAATGGCCACACATTCCTTACAAAAGTGCTCATCAGTTTTGCCTCTTCCTGCATAAACTTTCAAAAGCACAGATCTAAAAAGTACAAGAGCTTTGGCTTGTTCACGTGCTTTAAATAGGCTCCTGAAAACAGAAGTCTCTTACTACTAATAGAGAAAGAAAGTTTTCTTTTACTGGTTTCAATCTTTGCTACTGTTTCTTCCCAGAAACTTTATTGGGTGAGGGTTAGAGATGAGATGTCCCTGCTGCCTGCTCTTCTCTATTTACACTGATCCTCCTTTAGTGTGTTATCTGTGGAGTACCTACTGGAAGCTTCAGAATCTGAGCCTTCACCCTTAGCAGGAACTTCAGATTTCTTAAGATACGTAGTTGAAAACTTTGGAAAATGAGAGGGAAAATAATGTCACATTAATATCAGGGGATAGTCTCTGAACAAACTTCAGAATGATGAGAGTAGCTATCAGATTGTAATTTGGTGTGTTTGCAGGGCTGAGAGATGCCCTGTTTATGGAGTTTTCATGGCTATGGATGAAAGACTAAGTGAGACTCGGAGAAGGTATGTCCTAGGATTCCAGAGGGTTCTGCTATTATGACCTGGTATATTGATTCTTTTGTTTCTGAGCCTTTATATCTTGTCTTTGTTCTTTCTGCCTGTGCTGCTTTCTACCAGTTGTCTCCATCTGTCTCTGTGCTAATCTTGATACCAGTTCTCCATCTTTCTCTCTGTCTCGCTCTTTCTCCCCCCACCCCTTTCTCTCAGGTTTCCCTTTTATTTCGAGCTGAAAATCGCATTTGTCATTTGGCTGCTCTCCCCTTACACCAAGGGCTCCAGTGTCCTCTACAGGAAGTTTGTGCACCCAACGCTCTCCAATAAGGAGAAGGTACTCGCTACTTGTTAGAAGATACTGACCTGTCTCAGAGTTGACTGACTTTTGATCCAGTCATGCCGCAATAGAAACTGAAATGCGGAATCATGCTTGTGCTGACATTAATCAATGTAGAATGATTCTGTCTCTGACAGCAATGACATACTGCAGCTTACTGAAGACTCTAATGTAGCCAGTAGTTTGCCTAATGCTTAGAAAGCATGTTTAACTAACCCAGTGTCATGAGCCCTTATTGTCAGTAGTTAAGCTCTTTGAATCACGATACGAGCAGCATGTTCTGTAGTTCTGCTGTTTTTTCACATTGTCAGTACAAGCAACTGCTGTTACAGTTTGGAAACAGCATACTTTGAGGAAAAGTTGCATTTGCAAGCTTTCTGTAAGTAGCAGAGAAACTGGAGTTATGTGGTCAATGACAGCTGTTGATGGTAGTCTGGAAAAAAGTGTCCAGATGAGCTTTGGGCTTTTAAGGGTGATGGTGGGGGAACTTTGATTACGTTTGTAACAAGGAGCTAAATGCCATGTTCCACATTACCTTCCTAGGAAATCGATGAATACATTACTCAGGCTCGTGACAAGAGCTATGAAACCATGATGCGAGTTGGCAAGAGAGGGTTAAACCTTGCTGCCAATGCAGCAGTTACTGCAGCTGCAAAGGTAATGCAACACCTTCTGTAACATTCAGGAATCCCCAAGAAGTTTGGTTTTGTGTGCCAGCAATTAGTAGTATGGGTTTGTTAGGGATGCTGGTACTTGTGGACACCAGTCTACTTTTCCTTTCCACCAGTTTGCCTTGTGGTTAATTCCACCCTTTGAATTAAGGAAAATGAGGAAGAGTGGAATGGATTTGCTTTAGCCTCTTTTCTTTTGGTCTTGGGAGCATAGTTTTCTTTTTCCCTTTTCTATTTTCCCAGAGTACCCTAGTGGGGAATAGGACACCTTTTGTCTTCTTCTGAATGGTCCCATGTGAGATGATCTTGGTGAAGGTGAAGTGCCCTTAACCCTTTTTGGTTTCTTTTTTGGCCATCTTAGGGCCAGGGAGTTTTGTCTGAGAAGCTGCGAAGTTTCAGCATGCAGGATCTCACTCTGATCCGGGATGAAGATACTGTGCACCTGCAAAGCCGGGAGCCACAACTGCTCCCCTCTGGTGGGAGTCTTCTTGAAACCATTGAGGATTCAGGTACAGAACACCCCTGCTAGGCCATCTACGAACACATCTCTCTACTTTTTGGAATATCCTTGGTCAGGATTGTTGACATCTCCCTTTCATGTGGTCCTTCAGGATGGGCCATTTTAGACTTCTTGTGATTTTTCAAAAGTATTTGCTAAAACTTTCTCTCTTCTTCCTTAGCTTCCTGTTACTCCTCAGGAGAGGAGAGCAGTATAGCACAGAGGTCTAATGGAACCCCACTGGAGACTAGAACAGACCCATCAGATGAAGATGCAGGAGACAGACTTCCTAAACGTATCCAGAGTCTCAAAACTCCCAAGAAGATAATGAAAGCTGAGGTAAGCTGGTGTGTAAATTATTTCCAGCACAGATATTGGTTTGTGAGCTTTGTTGGAAGGCTCTGGCTTCACAGTCTTGCCGCATTGAAAAACTGTTTACATGAACTTTGTTGAACTTGGTCTTTGCTAGTTGAGTCCTACATCAGAGGACTTGCTGTCTACTTGCTATACTAGTCTCTAGCTTTTGTATTTTGATCATGCCTGTAAGCCTCTGTCGTAAGCGAGGTCCTAGCTTCTCTCTTCTTCATGATAAAATGCTTATCCATTTTTGTGCAGTGTGGTCCTATTTGCTTGATTCAGCTCAGGCTGCTAATCTTATTTTTTTTATTTAAGATAAAGTGCTATATGACTGGCTCACACTGTCCAGCTCTTCAGGCTAAATATTAAATAATTTGGAGGAAAGTAATTGCTTAGAGCATCATTTTAAGTTATACTGTTCACCTCGCCTTACAGTGTACAGGAAACCTTTGCATATGATTAAGTACTGTTTATAAGAGAATCAGAGAATAGCTGAGGTCGGAGGGGACCTCTGAAGATCATCTGGTCCAACCCTACTGCTCAAGCGAGGCTATCTAGAGCCTGTTTCCCAGGACCGTGTTCAAATGGCTTTTGAACGTCTTCAAAGATGGACATGTACATCTAAAGATGCATTTAAAGCCAGCCTGAATCTTTTTTTACTTCCCAAGGCTTACTCCTGCATTGATCCCTTTTCTTTCTTCTCTAGTGTATTAGGCTATATGTGGAAAGAAGAGGAACAACATTTGATTCTAAGCTTTCCTAGGGAGAAATTTCTAAAGTGAAATCGTGGAAAGACAGTAACAACTCTTCAGTGCTGTTTATTCTGAACGCAGAAATTCCAAGAAAGCCCTTTTGCATTGGGTTTTATGCTTGGTCTGTTTGGATCTTTGGTTCAAATGTAGGAACTGTAGGAGGCCTTTGACCGAGCTGTCTGAGGTTGCCCAGAAGGGCTGAATTCATTGCAGATCATAAATGCCCTCTTCTTGCCAGTATCTAGAATGAAAGACACTGGACTAAAGTGTGCAAGCTCGTTTAAGATGTTTCTACATTTTTCAGGTAATAGCCTTTGGGATAGCAGTCAAGAAGCACAGAAGTCACAATAGTGAAGTATTACATGAATGGTACCAGTTAGAAATATCACTGTGTCTAATCTTTTGTCAAGACAGCTGATTTCAATTTTATTATCATACTTGTCCTGGTTTAGAATGTCTTCCTCTTCTGGTTGCTCTTTGACAGATATGCTCAGACGGATTTGTTTACTAACCAGAATGAATGGTTAAATAGCTTTTCTGAAATAAACAGATGACATGAATGTCATCTTTGATATCTTTGTCAGCAAAATGGACAGTGGGATTGAGGGCACCTGTGAGGTGCAGTTGACATGCTGGCAGGAGAAGATGCCATCCAGAGGGACCTGGACAGGCTGGAGAGGTGGGACAGTGTGAACCTCATGAAGTTCAACAAGTGCAAGGTCCTGCACCTGGGTCAGGGCAATCCCAGCACAAATACAGGCTGAGTGGAGACTGGATGGAGTAACCCCAAGGAGTACTTTGGTGTGTTGATTGATAAGCTCCCCGTGACCCGGCTTCAGTGAGCGCTTGAGCCCAGAACCCCTCCGTGTGCTGGGCTGCAGCCCCAGAGCGTGAGCAGCAGCTCAGGGAGGGGATTCTCCCCTCTGCTGCCCTCTGGGGAGACCCCCCCTGCAGCCCTGACCCAGCTCCGGGGAACAGCACAAGAGGGATGTGGAGCTGCTGGAGCGAGGCCAGAGGAGGCCCTGGAGCTGCTTGGAGGG